GAGAAATGTTAACATATCAAGTTTCATTAAATGGATTAAGTTCTGGTGCTTTAAGAGCGAAGTTCAGGAAAATTCCGAGGTTGAACATATCCTTCAATTGCAAAGCAGCAAAAGAGGAATGGCTGTGTGTGTTCACGTGCAGAACTTCCTCTAACCCCGCTGGCACATCTATTCTACAGACGCTAGTAACATCACAACCGCAGTTGTGCAAAATGCCACTGACTGCTCTATTTTCACAAAACCAAACAAATGTGTGTGTGTTTTTTTTTAAACCACTGTTTTAAGTATCATTTGTTTCTGCATTATGGAACAATTCACTTCAGTGTCACACACTATAGAATGAGACAACGTATTCAGTTTGGAACGATGTTTATTCAGTAAATATACTTTTATCACAATAAATCCCTCCATAAATGACTTACAGGACTTTCTCAAGTGGCTAAAATGTTAAACCTAAGAGAACTCTTTATAATTAGAAAAATCTGTATAATAAATTTTCAAGTTGAAAAAAAGTCCCTTGATATAGAATCCGAAATGTAAGGTTTCTTCTATGTTAAATTATACTTAATTTTTGATGTCATTAAAACATTTCTTAGCTTTCTAAAAGAAATAACTTACTTCCAGCTCTCTTAAAATAGTCGCTGCATCATTTGTCACAAACAACTTCTCTAGGTGGTTGATAACCATCTTGTTCATTCCTCAAAAATAATAGTTAGAAAAACAAATCCATTACTACTCAAATCCTTCTCCAAGGACCCAGGAAAATCTAGTCAAGAAGAAATATACATTTGTATGCACTTCTTAAAATACCACTGGAAAAACTCAACACACACTATCTATTCTTTAAGATTATCTCACAACCCTATGGCTCTCCCCTACTTGCATGCCCATTATTTCTTTCCTTTCTAATGTCCTGTGCTTATTAGGGAGGGTGTCAACACTCTCTGGTTTTTGTTCAATAAATATAAATTATATTAACATGTACAAAGAGCAAAATAATCTACTTAAAAGTGTATTTAGTTTTTCCTTATTCCGTAAATCTGTATCAATTATATTCAGTAAATGGTAAGAGGCAAGAGAGAATTTTCTCCCTTCAATCATAATGTCACTTTATATAAAGAACTGTTCAGCATTGAACATTGGGTACTGTCTCGATAGTGAAAGGACCATAAAGTAACATTTTGATTCCTATTTTTCTAAAGATATCTGAATTGCTGATTAAAAACTGGAAACACTGTATTGGTGTCACTGAACTATGAAATAACTTTTAAAGCCATACATACTACATGATGGCTAAACCTCAATTTACACAGTTAATACCCTTGCAGTAAGCTTGAAAGAACTAGTACATGAAATTTTACTACTGTATCTTTTAAAAGATTAATTTGGAAATTACCATTTGGTCCATACGCTGTACGAGTCGTTTGGGCAAGCTCCTTGCAAGCCTGTATGTTCCTGTACACAGCCTCTTCTAATCCTGAAAAATGCTGTAAAAGAACTTCTGATTAGACAGGACAGCAAAACACAGTAATTTTCTTCATCAGTAAAATGTGGGTAATAATAATAGCACGGTACCTTCTCACAGGACTGCTGAGACAATCAAGTAAGATTTGTGTATGTAAAGCATGGTGCTTGGTATTTATAAATGATCCACAAATTGGCTCCTAGTTTAAAGAATAAAGCATGACATTTCTAGGGACCACCAGTACATACTTACACATTCAAACGTAAGGCCTATAATTTTTTTTTTTTAACACAGTTTGTGGGAAACGAGTAAACTCGTCATAGCGCTTTTTATACCACTTTGTAAGCGGGCATTTTCCCACCAAATCGCATCGTAACAAAGAGGTCTCTATACCTGAGTTAAAGCGCTATGACGAGTTTACTCGTTTCCCACAAACAGTGTGATACCAAAGCGCGGGAGTTAACTCAGGTATAGAGACCCCTTTGTTACAACGCGATTTGGCAGGAAAATGCCCGCATACAAAGTGTTAATGTAGTGAAAAGTGAAGGGAAGAGTGCTAAGATTGATTAGAGAAAGCATATGCGCTACTTCAGGTAAAAATACCTTTTGTTTATCAGTACTTTCTAAAAGTTGTAATGTGGTATGAACACTGTTCTAATTGCGTTAGAACCTGAGTATTGTAGAGCTAACAGTTCTATGTTCACTGGGAATTCCCACTGAACGTACCTGCCTCCCAAATGTTTAGGGACTAAAGTATACAGACTTGAATGGCAACGCAATTCCAATGTGCACGTATTGAAAAACTGATGAATCGCTCACAGTACGAAAATTCTCAAGTTTTACATTGGATTTCTTTTAGACGTGATCTACTTGTGACCTGGTAAGTTTCATGAGCCTATTGTTCATGTGAGCATTTTTCTAGATCTGCTTTGCCTAACATAGCAGGCATTAGCCACATCTGGCTATTTAAATTTTATGTAATTAAAATTAAAAATTCAGTTTGTCAGTTGAACTAGCCACAGTTCAAGTGCCCAGTGGCTACATGTGGCTAATGGATACCATACTGGACAATGCTGATATATATTTCCATCATTGCAGAAAGTTCTATCAGACAATACGTTCCAGAGCATAAGGTGTGGTTTTATAATTTTCACAAAAGGAACTGGGATCTATACAAGGTCAATAATCACTACTTTAAGGCCGGCCAAGTGGCGCGTTAGTTGAGTTGGCTTGGGACACCAGCTCTGAGCAGCAGGGCCCCGGTTCAGATCCCACATGAGGGCCAGTGACGCTGCGCCCTCTACAGCTAAGATGGTGAACAACAGCTCGACCTGGAGCTGGGCTGCCGTGAGTCGCCGGCGACGGCGTAGGCTGCAGTGGGGCTGGCCTGGCAGCGATCGTGAGCTACCGTGAGCCACTGTGAGCAGCCGTCCAGTGGCAGGAGAGCGACTGCCTCACCCAGGAAGAGCACAATGATCAAAATACCAACATGGGGCAGTGAAGCGACGTCCTCCACAACTAGACTAAAGAACAAAAGGACAGCAACTTGTCTGTTTCCCTTCCCCGATTCCCCAATTAAAAAAAAAAAAATCACTACTTTAGAAGCAGTGTCTTCAACAAGGGTTGGCCTTTTAGAATAGCATTTAGTCTGATCTCCTGCCTTATACTCTTGCTTCTTCCCTACCTCACCCCCATTCTCGGATGAACAACCATCTTATTACAAATCGGATCCCATCAAACCTTTCAATGATTTCCCGTAACTCTTAAGGATAAATTGTAAATCCCTCCTCAGGGCTACACGGCCCGACATGTTCTGGCTCTTAGCTACATCTCCCCTAAAATCATCTTACTATTCCTGCCTTCCTTTGATAAGCTTCAGCCCCATCAACCTTTCTCACTGTTTTAACAGCTCAAACTCATTCCATCCTCAAGGTGTTTGTACTTACTGGTCCCTCAGCCTGGAACACTTTCCCTTTTCATCGTGGCAGGTTCCTTTTGTCACTCAGCACTGACCTAAGAGTTCTTTGCTAAACGTCTTATTTCATTGTTCTAGCTATCCCGACTCCCCTTGTTTTGGTGGCAGACTTTGTTACTTCCTGTCATTTTTTACTATAGTACTGTTTATTTCCATTACCATTATTTGAAATTATCCTTTTTGCTTGATCATTCGTTATTTCTGCCTCAGAATAAAAACTATGACTTTTCAGCCTGACTTCTTTTTGTGTATAAAGTAAGCAGTGGTCGATGTCCTTTTCAGCAAAGCAGTTTCACCAACATTTACATTAAACCCTTTTATTTATTTGTACTCATTTTAACCCTAAAGTGCATCCTGCCTAAAACTGTTACCTATAACTGAACGGCGCTGATCTATATTTCCTTAATTTAAACATAGGAAATTGGGGGGACAAATAAAAAAAGCACTATTGGAACAGCCCAAGAGACAAATTTATCAGCAATGCGTTGAAATATATATATATTTTAAATCATGCTGTTTAAATTACGTTCGAGGTCTGGCCATAAAACAAAGCAGTTTTATTTAGGCCAGGATGTCACTTACCCTGTGGATTACACAGGTAAGTCTGACAGTTACAACTCAAAGGTATCACCTTTTGGTCCAATCTCCTCAATTTAAAGATAAAGGAAATTTATCTTAATTATTTAATTGATAAATTAAAATTTATCAATTTAAAGATAAAAGAAAGCAAAACCTCCAGGGCTAAGTTTTACATCAAGGTAGCTAAGTTTGGGCCAGAACCCTTTTGGATGGTCTGTCTGTCCTACTATAACGCACTACTTTTACGAGCTAAAGGGGGAGCCCTGTTTCTCAGAGGGCTCTTCTTGGAAGACAGCTGCCAAGAACTGGCCCTTGTTCCTCTCCTCTCCTCTTGAAGGATGGAGACTCGAATCTTGAAGGATGGAGGAAAAATGCACGAGCTGCTTTACGCTCGCCCGGCTGGTCAACTCAGGTTGCGACTCCTGCGGCCTTGTCCCTAACCCGCCGCCTCCAGCCTCTTCACGCTCCCTAGGGTCGGGCAAGGCCAGGAATGACCGCGGGCCTCGGCGGCCGAGACCTCCAGACAACACCTCCCTTTCTGGAATCTTCTCTTCCTTCCACCGCTGTGCCGGGGCGGGGAGGGGGGGGGCACACCCGGCCCGTTAGTAGGCCTTTTTCCTTCGCTGCGGCCGCCGCAGCCCTACGCCGGCTCTCCCACCTCCCTCCCCTTTCCTCCATTCCTCACCTTAGCTCCATCCTTGAGCATCTGGGCAAAGCCCGGGGCCTTGGGGACATGCAGCGCCATGACTAGACCGCAGGCAGTCGTCCACACGCCGGCCCGCAAGATCCCAGCAGCAGCGAGGGGCACGCACAGCCTCCTGGGAAGGCAGCGTGCCGCGGCCTCACGCCCCTCCTCTCTCTCCAACTAGGCCCGCCCCTTCCCCTGCGCCGGTAGAAGCCTCGCGAGATACAGCAGTTCCTGCAGCCAGAACCGAATTGACGATCCTCGATCAGGTCGATCGACCATGCTGATCGCAGAACGCGCCATCAGTCTTCGAGCCTACGCACGCGCAGGCGGCCCAGGCAGTTGAGGCAGCTCCCGACTGTCCCCAGGGTCGAGACTCCGGGGTTGGAACGTTAGACTTTTGCCATTTCTGACCTGGAAGCCACGCCTCCCTCCTAATATTAATTTCCAGGTAATCTTCCAGACCCACCCGTAACATCAGGGCAGGTGTTCCCACTTATCCCGAAGCAGAGCATCTGCCCTCATCCGCACAATCTATCGTTGGGCTTCTGCTCTGTCTTGGGCATAGTAAGAAGTGCTGGGGACGTGGGAGTAATAATTAAAATCTGTAAGGATAACTACATACTGAATGCTCATATGTGCCAGACTCTGTTATTGGCTTTCCATGCGGTATCTTAGCTAATGGCCAATCTTACGAGTTAACTATTATCTTCTCCATTTGGTAGAAGCGGAAACAAGTTTACAAATGGCAATTTGTCCAACATCTCAGCGTTAGTAATGTTAAAGCTAGAATTCCTACCCAGATCAGACTGACTGCAGAATGCACGTTCTTAACCACTATCAATATTCCTTTTTTTCTGCTTTTTCCTTGAAATACAAAACCCTTTAACTTGCCCAGAATCTTTTAAAACCTGATCTGTGTGTCTTCCTGCATCAACACATGGCTCATTTCAAAAAGATTGAATGGTAATGGAATATTTTTAAAAATAATGTCACACTTGAAAGTAATCCCCTCTTGTTGAAAATACGAAGGGGAAGCTGGATGGCTCAATTGGTTAGAGTGTGTGCTTTGAACAACAAGGTTGCTGGTTTGATCCCCACATGGACCACTTTGAGCTGGGCCCTCCTTTAAAAAAAAAATACAGAAAACATGAAGCAGAATGTTTTGACTCGGCTTTTGTTCTTTGACGAACAGTACAAATTAACATTTTCTTTAAATTGGGACAGATTTAGTGTGGCTTAAGGAATAATCACGTGTCATTCCTATCATCAGTTATCACTTTTAGTTTTTTTCCTGAAAAAATACATAATTATTAACATTTTTAAAAAAATGCTTTTTTGCCACCTCAAATGGTATGTAAACCACCTATTGGGAAGCATTCCAAGAAATCAGCGGTTCTCAGTGTGGTCTGGGGACCTCAGAAGTGTGCTAAGACCTCTCAGAGTTCTCCAGGAGAAAACTATTCTCAATAATAATACTGAGACATTTGTTCTGTCATTGTTTCAGTGGAGAGTTTGCCAGAAGTTACAGAATATGTGTGACTAAAACAGTTTGAATGCAAAAGGCATGAGAAACCAGTTATCTTCTATTAAACCAGATATAAAAGAGATTTGCAAAAATGTAAAACAATGCCACCCTTCTCATTTTTTTTATTTTGAAAGATAGTTATTTTTAATAAAATATGTATGTTATGTGATGGGTTTATTACTGTTATTTTTTAAATTAATATTAAAAAATAACCAGTTTTGGTTTATAAAACGGGACATATTGATAGCTGTAACCCACATAAAGAAAAGCTATTTGAGAATATTAATAATTCTGAAGAGTAAAGGGGTCTTAAGACTGAAAAATTATAGTACCACTGCAATAGATCAGTCTTGAACAATAATAGAACAACTGAAGATTTTTCTCATGATTAGCTAAGAAATAAAACTGTCATTTATCTGACTCAAAAAGAGTATTACTTATAACCCAAAATAAAAGGGGTTAAAATTACATCTGATGAAATTTCATTAATAAAAAATGACTAAGGAGTCAATTATTGATAAAGACCATGGAAAATTAAACTTGAGGATGAAACAATTCATGAATCAAATTTCCATGGAATGTTTATAATAAAAAATTGACCTTACACTTAATTTTAATAAATTAAAAACGAAATGGAAAGAATTGAAATCAATTAAAATCAGTGTGGTAATTTATCAAGAAATTGAATTGATTTAATTGCCAAGAAGGATGATTTTTAGATGAAAATTCATTAATTTTGTATTGCTTAGGTTAAGCTGTATTCATAATTACAGAATCAGAGCATCCAGGGTAAAATTTCCACTGGATCTGAATAATAAGCCAAATAATCTTTGCCCAGGAAAGAAAATAAACACAAAACTTTAATGTGGCTTCAAGGCCTAGGTTCAGTCCCTGCTTATCTCCCATGTTTCTTCTCCTTGCTCTTCCAGTCTGTCTTCTGCCCACAATGGCCTGAGTATCCATCCTGTCTGTTTTACCTCTTCTGTATTTACCTCTTCTGAAAGCAGAGGGCCTTTGCCTCTGCTTTCCTTTATCTAGGATGCTCTTCCACTCCCTTTCGGCTGAAGTTAGGTGTCACCTGAAAATGTAGCCTTTAGCTGTCTCCTGGATTGAGGGTGCCTGCCCTTCCCGCTCCCTATATTCAGGAGGAACTCCACTCTTGCCCTGGGTGCGTATGTCCAAGCCATCGGGCCTCCACTAACCAGTCACCATTTGTTTCCAGTGACTTTGTTTCTATTTTTTTCCTCTTTCTTTCTTTTGTCACTGTACTTTAGAATTTTTTTTTTAATGTTTTGGCCTTGTCTAGTGTTTTAAATTTTTTGGTATTCTTATTTAATTTTACGGACTCGCATTAAATCTTTAATCTTCTGGCTTTACTTCCCTCCCCGCCCCCCAATTTGTATTATTGATTTCATGTTATTATATCATCTGTTTTTCTCTAGTTGTCCATCAAATTTGATTCTTTTTATTTGATTTTGGATTTTATGACTCATTTTGTGTTGGCTTATTATTTTACTTCAGTTTCTTTTGTGTGTGTGAAAATATCGATTTTCCGTTATAAATTTAATTTTTTTTAAATTTTAATCAAGTTTCTTTAGGCTTAAGGGAACCCCCGTTTCTCTCTCTGAGTTTGGAAACACGTACATGGGAGTCAGGCAACTGGGATTGAGAGTACATGCTGGAGGACATGGCTTAGTGTGAAAGCCCAGACACGCTTGTCTGTGATGGCTGCTTTGCGCTGAATTGGAATAGAAGAGAAGAAAAGAGGAAGATAGGCTTTAAATGGGTTAACTCCGTTAATCTGGAAATAAAAAGCCCAAATGAGAGGCAATTAACATTTATTTGGGATCAAAAAGAATTGCAATTGACAGAAGCACAGATTCAGGTAGAAACCCAAATAGTGTCCCAATACAGGGTGAAGGCAGAGGGTTTTTATGAGAAGAAAACGAAGGGGATGATTACATGAATACAAGAAAGAGATTTCTATTGGTGGTAACAAACCGAGTTACTCTTAATATGGCTGGTTACCAATTTTACCTTCAGAAAGCGAGTCTGTGAGCATCAGTCCTTGTGGTCAGGCTGTCTACCTTCCTGTTGGACTTACAAGCAGTTGTTTGTAAGACAATGTTGGTTTGGCTCAGTTCAAGGGTTATTTTGCCCAGTTCAAATATTCAAAAATTTCAAGGAACAAGACGTGCAAGGCAGTTCCTCTGGAATGGCTGCTTCAAATCCATTTTAAAATAGCTCCATTTATGTCATTTTCCACAACTCTGTAATCAAGAAAGGTGGCCCCATGTCACCCACAGCAAGGTAAGGATTTTGAGGCAAGAGGCTCAAAGAGTCTTGGGGTATAAACTGGCATATGATATTTTCAACTGAGTAGTTGATGTATCTTTCAGGAAGTTTCTGGAATGAACAATAAAGTTATTTGGCACTTTTTCTTCCTGAGTCAGTGTCTCCTGGAAAAAAGTTATTGATGAAGATGTTGGAATAGTAAAGTCATGTTAATGTGAGTGGCAAGCTGTGTGGGTACAGATGGCTTTAGTTGTCACTGCTGATGCTTTTCCTAGTGACAAAGAGGATCCCCTCCGGTTGGTTGAGTCTCCTGTGAGCTCAACATTAGGACTGGTGTCTTGGTCCAGAGAGTCTGTTCATTTCCTTTGCTCCAATCCTGGTGGAGGAGGCCAGTTTGGATTCAGAAGAGGGAGCTAGGCTGATGCTGAGTGCAAATAGGCAGATGCAGCATTTGCTGATGCCACTCCTCATGCCATGACCAGAATGTCTACTCTCTATTTTCGGTTGTTTAGCTGGAGGTTGCTTCCCTTCCATTAAGAAGATTCCTGTACTAACGCATGGCATAGTTGTGGTCTTAAGATAATGTTCTTACACTGCCTTACTTTAAAAGCTTCAAGCAAACTGATGTATCCATTCTGACTATATTAATCATTTGACTGCAGGAGGCCTTAAATCTAAGGTTTTTGGTCCCTCTTTTTCAGTTAGAGGGGGAAAAAGTTTCACAGAGGTAAGGATGTGCCAGTTATGCTCATATTTTTCAAACTTCTTGGGGGATAGAGGGACGATGGCTCCCAAACTCTCCTAGTTAGCTCAGGCAGCCATAACAAAATAACCATAGACTGGGTGGCTTAGGAAATTTTTTTTTTTTTCTCAGAGTTCTGGCAGCTGAGCAGTCTAAGATCGAGGTGCCAGCAGGTAGGTTTCATTCTGAGGCCTCTTATCTTGGCTTGGAGGCAGCCACCATCCTGCTGTGTGCAGGATCTCTGATGTCACTTCTTACAAGAACACTAATCCTGTTGTATCAGGGCACCACTGTTCTGACCTCATTTAACCTTAGTTACCTCCTGTCAGCCCCATCTCCAAATATAGTTACACTGGGAGTTGGGGCTGTAACATACAAATCTGAGGAGAACACAGTTCAATCCATAGCATCCTTATTCTCAAAGGAACTTTTTTGACCTGATTAATTTCTCTGATGAGATTTACCTGGATGCGTATATTGCCCTTATCAGATCACCCACTGTCTGCTTGGGTGCTGGGCCACATTTCTGTCATCTTTGGATTTTCATTGGTTCTATGAACCCCATAGCAGGAAGAACCATTTAAACATGTGGTCTGGTAAAGAACAGATGGAGACATCCCTCAAATCTACAACCATTGACAAATAGAAGATCTGCCTTCCTCTGAGCTACTTGTATGGGGGCGGGGGACCTCAGGGACTTGTTGAATGGTAAATTCCTCACCAACTTCATCTGCATACAGAAGCTGCTCATTCTGAATGGTGGCACATGGGATAAACCTGGAGAGGTCATTTCCCTCTCCCCTGCGAGCAGTGGTGGATGAGGTAGGCTCTTTGAGGTTGCAAGGAAAGGAAATCTACATGCTGAGGTCACTTTAGAGGGTGCATT